GTGTGTGTGTGTGTGTGTGTGCACGGGTGGGAAACGCTCTCCTGTTTGCTGGATAAAGATGTCTGCCTGCTCTGGGGTGGTACCGAGCGGGGCTGGAGGACCGGGAGGAGGTGGGCGCACCTCTCCTTGGGTTGGGCTGGGTTGAACTCGTCTGTGGCACAGATCAGTGATTGCTGCTCAAGGCAGCAATTAAGCAGGGTGGGTTGCCAGGCTGGCAGCCAGCTTCTCAGCAGCGCAGGCAAAGCTGGACTTTGCCCAGGACAAAGGGATGTTCTATTCCCACCATGGGAAAGGAGAGGGGCAAAGAACCCTCAAGATCTGTGCCTGCTGCCATCAGGCAGGAGGAGTGAGGACAGCAAGAAGGGCAGCTGGGGATGGAGCTTTTTCCTCTCCTCACAACTCCGGGATGGTTCTCCAGAGCTGGTCAGAGTAAAGTGGGCAACAGGGACACTGGGCGGCATCCTGGGAACTCGCTGCCTGCTTCGGCACTGCCTGGCTCTGCTCATCTGTGGCCAAGCATCCATCTCCTCTCAAGTGATGAAATCAGGCTGGCTTTGCAGAAGGAAAGGCTCATGGTGCTCCCTGGCCAGTGTCTCTTGAGGAACCATGCTGAAAAGCAGGTACTGGTGGCTCCCAGGAGCAGTGCCTCCAAAGAGCGGTGGTCCCAGGAAGGTAAACTCCCAGACCCCAGGTGTCCCTGAGGTCCCTTTGGCAAAGGTTCAGATGTGGCTCAGAGAAGTGGGGTTGCATGCCCCGGGAGGAAGGGGACAACCAGGGCTGGCTCCATGGTCCCTGCGACACCACTCTCTCCTTGGAAGGTGCTTTCCAAGATCCTCCACTCTGGGAAAAACACACCAAGAGTTCAGCTATTTGCAAACCATTTATTTGTGATGCCAGTAATTGGAAAATCAGTTAACGGTGAGCAGAGGAGAAGGACCTTTGTGAGCAGTCGCTGCCATGCACCTCCCCGACTGTCCACGAGGAAGGATCTGGCCCTCTTGGTGCTGTGCCTGTTTTGTTGAACAGTGCTCCTGAAAGTGGAGGACACCAGCAGTATGTCCTGTGGCTAATGAGAGTTAATTGGGAAGTCAGTCATTCCTGAGTGAGTGCTCTTGAGCCTAAAGTGCCACAGAAGACTTTCTTGTGTGAACAGAGTTTTCCTTTAACATTTATGGAGACCTAGAGATTGAAATGTGCTTCTGTAAAGGGGCCACAGGAGTGTTTGCTCAGTATTTTGTTGCAACTATGGGTTTCCCCAGGAAATGGATCAAAAGAGCTGAGGGTGCTCCTGTAGAGATGCTCATTCTTACACCCACTGGCTGGATCACGCCCAACTGAACTGCATCAAATTCATCAAATTAATTTGGGAATCTGAGACAACATTTTGTAGAGACTGGATAATCTAAACCAGGCTTCAGCTGCTTTCTTCACAGGGGGCCTTGGGTAAATCACAACTTGTTTTTCTAAGCCTCACCCCCTGGGACATCAGAAACACGTTGCCAGACTGTGTTGTGCAACCTCACTTGGCAAACGTCGTTTGGAGGCTGGGGGTAGGCGCAGGAATGAAGGATCCCCAGTGGTGTGACCAGCTTTGCCCTTTGAAGGAATCAAGTAGGGGTTTATTTTTACACTTTGCAAAATAAAAAAACATATTTTCTGGTGGAGATGGAAAAGAGATGTTTGGTGAGAAACTGTGCTGTGAAGCTGGGCTGCTGAGATATCTATGGGAGCAAAGTATTGTTCAGCAAAAGGTTCTTTCTCTGCACTTTTTCTCTGAGTCCAAGAAGCATTGAGAGACCACATACCAGCAAACAGTAAGGCAGGGTGCTCACCTGGAGGGGAACCCCTCCAGGAGGGACAGGTGTGACTGATCCAGATAAGGAGAGGACAAACATCCTGCCCTCTGCTCTGCACTGCCAGCACCATGTTGTTGACAGTTGCAGCAGGTCTCTTAGGGAAGAAGAAATGGGCACCGTGCTGAGAGCAGTCTGAAGGGGAGAGGACCTACAGGTCCAGGTGCTTGCACAAAGGACCTCCAGCCAGTGCTTGCACATCCTCTAATACAAGCTGCAGGGGTGTCCCCAGAGCCCTACTTTTTTTCTGCATTTTTCTGGGTATCATATCACATCACCTGTTTGGGTGGCATGGGAGGGAGTAAAAGAACAAGGGGTGATGGCTTGAAAGTGGCAGAGGGGAGATGGAGCTGAGATGTGAGGAAGAAATTCTTTGGTGTGAGGGTGGTGAGACAGTGTCCCAGGTTGGCCAGAGAAGCTGTGGCTGCTCCTCCCTGGAAGTGTTCTCAGCCAGGTTGGATGAGGCTTTGAGCAACCTGGTCTAGTGGAAGGTGTCCCTGCTGCTGGCAGGGGGGTTGGGACTGGATGAGCTTTAAGGTCCCTTCCAACCCAAACCAGTTTGGGATTCTCTGATAGGATTTGTCTTTGTAGAGGTATCTTATTTTAGCAGAGATTGGAAACTTTGATCGCAGGCTTTGGACTCCTTTTCCCTGGGGAAGGGGAAAAAGAAACAGTGCTGGTTTTTATTGTACCTAACAAAAAGCCAACATTTAATATATTCAAAACTTTATTTCAGGGCAACCCAAAGCAAACCTGAAGTGTTCCAGAGAGTGCAGTGGTTTTACATCTGGGATACTGGCAAAGCGGATAAGGAGCTACCGCAGGACCGAACCCCGGTGCACCAAGCAAGCCATCATGTAAGCACCACCCCACCGCCTGCCTCCCCTCCACACACCCTCCAGCGCCCACTGAGTGTTGGCCTGTCAGCAGATGCCCTCGCTCTGGAGCAGGGAAGCTGGAAACAGAGCGAACGCTGGTATTTATTTGAAGGGTGGGTTTATTTAAAGACCAACAGCCTCCAAGTGAGATTGGGGGCTCACGCGCAGAACGAGACGGGGATAAAGGGATGGGGAAAGGGACTGACGGACGTACTTGTTGGCAGCACGGGGCAGTGGAAGCATGTGGGGCTCACGTGTTTCTATGAAAGCAAGTGTTTTCTCTGGAGGCAGGTTTAGACTTGTGAGTATGTCTGGAGATGAGAAAAGTTACATTTTTTTTCCCCAGGATAATTTTTTTCTACTTACCCTGAAGATGAGGCACCATTGAGACCACTTTATTGCAGCCCAGGAGGTTGCTCCAAAGTGAACCTGCTGGGCTGACCTTGGAAAGTCTCATGTCACTCAGTAAATGAGGGGTTTGTCTTCCCATATGCCCCTGGGCAGCTGGTGCCAGCAGAGCTTCCTGCTCTGAGCGCTGGAGGTAAACACTGCGTCCAAACATCAGGACAATGCTTTTGAAAGAGAAAAACTTCTTAGGGGAAACTCTCTACCCATGAGTCATGTTCAGCTCATTCAGTCTGATCTCAGAGGCACCTGCCTTTCCTGAAATAAATAATCCATCCAAGCCGGTGGTGTTTACCATGGGCTTGAGAGAGTCAGCGATGCTGCCAGCGTGCCTTCCCTACCATGCTGATCATCTAATGGTGTTTTCTTTATCCAATAAGTGATCCTTTTTTACTTTCAGATTTATTACTCTGAAGTCCATAGAGATTTGTGCAGATCCAGAGGCAGACTGGGTGAAGAAGATTGTAGAAAAACTGGACCAGAAAAAGGCCACAGCCTCCCCACTTCCACGTGGTGCCACCTTAGCAGTGGCACCAGAAGAGCCTGGTGGTTTTCAGAAACATGTTGGTCTTACAGTAACGGTTCCATCTCAAGCCACTGCTCCATCTCAAGCCACTGCTCCAGCTGGTTTCTTCCAAGGAACTGGCACAACAGTTTTAGAGAGAATACATGTTCCTGCTGCCAGGACGGAGGCATCCAGCATGTCCCCACCAGCCATGCAGGCCACTACTCAGCTCCCTGAAGGATCAACCCCTGTGTTACATGAAGTTCCTGCCCACTCTCAAATCATTGCAGAAGCAAACAGAGATTCATCAAAATCTCCCATACCTTCAACAACTTTTGCAGCAGGCATAGTCTTCAGCCAGCCCACCCCATATCCCACGGCTCTTGTGCATGGCTTTGACAATGCTGTGGGATCTACAGAAGAACCTATAGGACATCCTGCAAATGCTACAGCTAATGTTCAAGACACAACTTCTCCTAGCTCAAATTCAGACCCCATGGCCATTACTGAAGGGTCAGACCATCCTGTACTTTCTACAGATGAATCCCTGGACCCTACAAGTGCAAGAGCCAACACACCAGACACTGCTTCTACCAGTTTTACTTCAGATTTCCCCTCCATCCCGGACGGCATGGAGATAGCCACAGTCCCAGCCACACCAGTTCCACCAGAGACCACTTCAGTTTCTACTCTAAACTCCACAACTGCCATAGGCAAAGCTCCCTCTGTCCATACCAGCAAAGTTGTCAGTTCCTCTGAAGATACTTTTGGTACTAGAATTAGAACTGATTATTCACTACCTGTAGGAGAGCAAGAGCCTTCGGGTACGTCAGTTTGTACTAGTCAAGCATTCTCAGGCCAGGCCAGAGTGCAGATGAGTACAGAGAGACCAAACAATCTGCCTCTTCCCAGCTTCTTGTCAAGATCTCAAATGCACTTTATCGTCCCGGTTTCTGTGGTGGGCGGTCTGATGGCTTGCAGTGTTGCTGTTGTATGGCTGTATCTAAAATTTGGAGTCAAAACAGAAGAAATGTCAAGAGAAATGGTACAGGGCTTGCTCTACCAGAAGGATGGACATCAAAACAATGTCTATCCAATGGAAGTCATCTGAATGCTTTATGGCATGGACATTTTTGGCTTATTTGTGTGCTGCTGTAGGAAACCTAAGTTTATGCTGAATTGGTGACCAAGTTTTATTTCCTGCAAGGCAGGGAATAAAAATACCAGAGAAAACTGATTTTTTTTGCAGAGCAGGATCTCCAAAAATATATCTAATTTGTCATTGACCAATGATAGTATTTTGGAAATAAGTGAGACACTTTTTTTTCCTTCTGGCACTGTTACATCCAAAGGCTGTTGCTATTCTAGAGCTGCTTGGTGGCTCTTTGCCAGGTGGTTGGCAGAAATTATTTTCCAAATTGCTGTTGGGAATTTTTCTGCATTTCACCATGGCCCAGCCAAGATGTCACCCACTCACCCACTGCTGCTGGGCTTGGGCTCAGCCACCTTGAGCAATCTTAACACCAAAAGACATGATTTGCACTTAAACTCTTCTGCTGCTTCTTTCTTTGCACTTGAGGTCGCTGCTCTGTCGGACCATGACCGATGCTGGTGGTCAGCAGGGTGCTGGCTCTCCTTGGGCTGATCAAATACCCCATCTACTGTTGCTGGAGTCACCAGGGGTGGTCCAGCTTTCCAGACAGAGGTGACAAAAACTGCATCTGATGAGGGGACAGAAGGTCAGCGCTACAGGTTTCATGTTCAGAGGAGCTGGCAACCCACAATCTATCTCCTCCTGGGAATCAGGCCACCCCTCCCTCCAAGAGCTGTGGGCATTTCTTCTTGCAGATTTAGTCTGAGACCTGATTCTTGGCAAATCAACTGCAATAAAACCCTTCTGCCAGCTGATACACCCTGTGTCCAGCTGCATCCAACACCAGGGCAGGATAATGTGGATGAGTCTTTGCAAATGGGAGAAAACAAGAAGTCACCCAATAACTTTGCTGTTCCTGTGATAACATTGGAGGTTGTTGCTGTCCTCTGCGAGCACAAAACCCAGGAAATGCTCTCTTGGAGGAGCTAAATGCAATTTTGGATTTAGTCATCTAGGAATTACCCCACCACAGCAGATGTCCCAGCCTTCTGGTCTTCTCTCTGTGAAGAAGCATGTTTGCTGATCCACAAAAAAGCACAAAATGCCTGTTCATGGTCCTACACTTCTGCTGCATTTTAGTTTTTCTTTTTTAGTTTTTTTCTGCAGCACTGATCACCGGGTTATGAAAGCACCATAACAGTACCAGGCTTTTCTAACCCAAACTGGGTTTGATTTTCACAAGTGTGGGTGCTGCTGTATGTAAGCCTTATCTTTTATCTCTGGTCAGTTCCTGAAAGTCCTTATTAAACACTGACTCCAGTATGAATTTTGCTGGAGCGTACAAAGGTCTGCATGATGAGATGCTTTGTAGGTAGAGATCCACATCAAGGGTCAGATTGTCCACTAACCAACGTCAGCAGATCAGATCCCAGTATGTAAATATGCCTGTAGAAAAAAGAAAACAAAAACACATAAGGAGCAAGATAATCAAAGCAAAAATGATGGGCCAGCTGTAAAGCAGAGCTAGAGGAAGGCGGCCTATTAGATCCATGAGATCCCACCTTCAGGGCATCCATCCATCCCTGGAGGTGCAGAGGATAGACTTCAACACTGCAATGGTGTTTATTTTTTGTCATCATTCCATCCCTTATTTCTGCATTTTGTTGGCTTGAGAGAGGGGAGCCAGGGATTCATCTTTGCAAATACAGAACAAGCAGATTCAGATTCATTGTAAAAACACAAGACAGACATGGACCTGTTAGAACGAGTCCAGAGGAGGCCACCAGGATGATGCGAGGGCTGGAGCAGCTCTGCTGTGAGGACAGGCTGAGAGAGTTGGGGCTGTTCAGCCTGGAGAAGAGAAGGCTCCAGGGAGACCTTCTAGTGGCCTCCCAGTACCTGAAGGGGCTCCAGGAAGGTGGGGAGGGACTTTGGCCAAGGGCAGGGAGTGACAGAACAAGGGGTGATGGCTGGAAAGTGGCAGAGGGGAGATGGAGCTGAGATGTGAGGAAGAAATTCTTTGGTGTGAGGGTGGTGAGCCAGTGTCCCAGGTTGGCCAGAGAAGCTGTGGCTGCTCCTCCCTGGAAGTGTTGAAGGCCAGGCTGGATGAGGCTTTGAGCAACCTGGTCTAGTGGAAGGTGTCCCTGCTGCTGGCAGGGGGGTTGGGACTGGGTGAGCTTTAAGGTCCCTTCCAACCCAACCCAGTCTGTGATTCGATGATTCCCTGATGAGGAATTTGAGGTGTGCAGCAGCCGTCCCGGGCAGCCCAGCTGTGTACCGCTGGCTGGGGTTGATTTACCGTGGAGGGTAAATCAGGGGCTGTCAGTGCTGCCTCCTCACCCCCCTGCTCATGCACGTCTGGGGCTCGTGGCCTCGTGAGGTGGTGTACTTGTACTATGGCATTATTTTTATATAAAACATGGAAAATGTTATTTTTGTAGTAAAGTTTTGTAGCCATTTGAATGTATGTAATGTCCTGTCCTTGCTACTGGATCATTGCAGAGCTGGGAACACTGGAGAACACCAGGCCTTGTCTATTTTCTTGCTGGTCTCGAGGGGCCTGTGCATTTCCTCGGGAGCTGGGTTGCTCTCCAGGCACTACAGCAAATGGAGTGGGCTTTGGGTGAAGTCCTTGGCCTGGAGCGATGCTGGGAAGATGAATGACTACCAGGCAGCTCTGCCTCCTTCAGTCCCACCACGGTGTTTGTAAGGATGCTGGTTTTGGCTCCACAGCCGGCTCCCACCATCTTCCAGCTGCTGTGGTCACGCTGGCACTTGTCAGGAGGAGCTTCTCCTCCAGCCTGGATCCATCCCTGTGCCCACCGCGCTCCCCTCACCTGTTCCCAGGCTGTCAGCAGGCAGCGCCCTGGCACCCCTCATGGGGGGCAGGTAACACCAGGAGGGGACCGCTGTTCCTCCTCGCCTGCCGCTGTGTGATGGGCAGAAGGTGACACCCACCAGCTCGGGAGGAGGGAGCCTGCGGGTGTCACCAGTTCCCGGGGCTTAAAATGTCATTTGCTGTGGAGCGCAGTGACAGGTACAAGCTCTGATTCCTTTGTCTACTGAGTATACGAGTGTGTGCACAAGACACACGTTCTGTACCTTTTTTTTTAGATGTAATAAAGTCCTTATGTCAAAAAATTATGTCCTTGGGGGACTCAGCCCAGGGCCGAGTGACCAAGCCCATCGCTGCAGAGGTGAGGAGATGAATGCGTGTGGTTCAACACGAGGGGAACTCCAGCATCACCAAGAGATGGCAAAGCTGGCACAGCCCCTGCGTCCGGGCTCTTGCTCCACCTCTTCACTGTTTATGAGCTTCAGTCTTGCCAAAAATTTGCAGGGAATAGATTCTTCTCCCCGGGAGCCCCATTTCCCACCCCGCTGCGGCACTCCTGAAAAAACAGCCGGGTTTTTGCTTTTTTTAAGTAAAGCCACAACCAGACAGGAACCCACAGAAAGCAAAAGGTTACTCTCCAGGTTGGTTCTGTAAGGGAGCAAGAGGTCTTGGGCTGAGCCAGGACCTGTCCCACCCCAGCCAGGGCTTTGGCTGCCTTTGGGTGCTCCTCTGGCACCGGGGAGGAGAGCTGGGAAAGGTAACACAACACGAGAGTCCGTGCCCAGGGACACCCTGAGCGGGGAGCTGGAAGGGGCAAGAAGGTCAGGGACAAACATCTCCCCCGCATCCCAGGAGCCTGATGTCCTCTTGGCCATACCCTGCCCTGTGCCACACGGCCGCCCGGACCAGTGCTCCAGCACCACCGGTGTACTGGGAAGATGGTGAGGTCTGTGAAAACTTCCCCCAGATGAATCATCAGGCCAGAAAGGTCATTTTTGGGGATAAGAAGCTCTGAAGAAAAGGACTTTTTTCCTTTTCTCCTCTCTGTTAGGGAAGGAGAGTGGGCGCGGGAGGGGGAGGCTGTGTAAACAAGTCAGCCCGACAGCCATGAATCATTTCCGCGGGCGCTGGTGCGGGGCCAGGCGGGGGCTGCAGCTCCGGGACACCACGGGAGCTCTTGGATGCTCAGCCCCTCGGTTGGCTGGTGGCACATGCTCCCTTTACTTTACTGCTGCTCCCTGGCTTCACAGAATCACAGAATGTTGGGGATTGGAAGGGACCTCGAAAGATCATCCAGTCCAACCCCCCTGCCGGAGCAGGAAC